ACTTTTCTTTATAATGCAATAAAATCTGGCGAGCAGCTATTTAAACGATCAAACACTTCGTTTGTTTATTTGTGGCTTGAAGTTAGGCTCGCAGAAAATGCCGCTCATTAGTTAAATTTAGTAGGAATAACACAACCTGTGACGTAGGCTATAGTATACCCAATTCTCCTCAACAATGACTTTAAAAAAGTTTTGGAAAGAAACATTTGACATTCTTGAAGCTATTCGCATCATTCAAAAGGCGTGGTCAGAAGTCACACAGCGACAGTTGATTTCTGCTTGGCGGAAGCTGTGTCCATCCTTCGTTCAAGGAGACGGAGGTGATCAGGGAGACACCCCTAAAATTATGGATGAAATTTTGACAACTGCTAGAGATCTGGAATTGGAGGTGAACGAGGATGACATAGAAGAGCTCATAATGGGACATGAAGATGAACTGACGACAGAAGAACTCCAAGACATTTTGAATGAAGAACACCAAGAAACACAGCGAAATGTGAAATGTGTTTCCTTCTGAACAGGAGGAAGACGAAAGAGGACCAATGCCGACATCTGCAATTAAAGATCTTTTAAAAAAGTGGTAGGATGTCAGAGCAATGGTCTTAGAATAGCACCCAAACCAAGCTGATGTCAGGTTGTCAGGGTTGGGGATCTTTACAACGACAATGCTATTAATTACTTCCGGAAAATCCTGAAAAAGAGAGAAAAGCAATCGACATTGGACATGTTCTTCAACGCCCCATAAGCAAAAAATGAAAAGGACTGATTAATATGCAAGACTATATGTATGTATTATTTTTTAAAAAACTTGCTATGAAATTATACATTTTTTAAAATTTAATTTTTAGGGTCTCCAGAACGAATTAATCGATTTCACATAGAAGTCTATGGTGAATCAATGATCGGTTAACGAACAATTCGGATAGCGAACATAGCCTTGGAACGGATTAAGTTCGTTAACCGATCACCCACTGTACTTAAATAGAAATCCCAATATGCGTGTAATCTTTCCTGTCACGGTGACTCTTTGTTCTTTTTTATATTGTTTTCTTCTTTAAACTAGGGACGACACATATATTTCAGTTACTTATAAAACAGGCTAATAATAATTTGCTTTTGAAAGACGTTAAAATTGTTTGAAAATTTCGTTAAAACATGTTAAACACGTGTCCAACGTGCAGAAACACATAGTGAAACCAGATTAAACTTGATGGAAAGTTATACTTACAGCTCTCTGAGAGTTGGTAGACTAGACACTGCTTCTGGGAATATCGTTAGCTTGTTCCCATGAATTTCCCTGCAAAGAAATAAGAGTTTGTTTTCATGAATGCAAGGTTAAAACTGGTTTTAAAGTTAGCTTTAATTGATTTTTAAAGTTAATAATTGTACAGTGTAACCAAGTTTTTAAAGTTAATTTGCCGCTTCCGGCGATCAACTGGTCCGCCTTATTAAATAAGGATAATATCAAGTATTTTGAGGTTTAAAATCGTATATTCAAAAATAAAGACAATGTGTAAACATAAAATCAGATTCCGCAAGTGAAAATGAATTTAATTTTTGCCTCTAACATGTCAGATTTTGGACTTTTCAGACTTAACAAAAATGGGTACCCTGGGGAATTTGTTAGTACAACGTATTCTAACGTTTTCAACATAATTTATACTAATTAGCTCAATGGCGCTTTTGAGGGATAATAACACAAATTAGCAACTTTTGCTAAAATCAAATTGTACACTAATTTACTATTATTAATTGCCGTTGTATTAGCAATGCAAACGTTCTATTGCATTTAATTTGTTAAGTTTGTTTTCGCGAAAATAAAATGAACTTTAATTGTTATACATTTTTTTAAGTAGAAAGAGTATGCAAATATAGAACAGTAAATAGAACATTTTAAAGCAATATATAAGTTTAAAAAAAACTATAGTTTAACGACATAGCTGGTGAACTAAAACGCATCATTATCAGGAGCATTCTTAATATTAGGAATTATGAATAGGATTACACTTAATATTTTTTAATATTCTTAAGTTTCTCAAAATTTAGACCCATGATTTGAGATTTTAGTTGTTATATTCTTAAATGTAGGTACTCAAATGTATGTTTAATACATTTTTTTCAAAATTTCGTCCGCTTCCATTTTTTTAAAACTTTTCTTTAATGTTTACTCAATACTTTTGTTGTCACGAAACGCCATTTCGAATCTCTTATAAATCCAGAACAGTTGGTGCCATAATTCTGAAATTTAGACATCGAAGTACAAGAAGCATTTAGTCCCAGATCCAAATAATCGTTTAAAATTTTTTATTAATCCGTAAGGAAAAAGGATTTTTTTTTGCATTAGTTTAGCCTTAGCAATTGTTATAAATGAGCTTGCAGATTCTGTTTAAGGTTTTATTACACATTCCTTTGTGGTTAATTATTTTTTTACTAACTTAGTCATCAACAAAAATGTCACGTGGATTGGTGTTATGTCACGGACGTATATACGCCCATAAGCTCACACCGATAATTTTCGCTGGACGTAAGCTGTCAAAGGGCTAAAAGGAAGATCGACTGTCCACTAAAGTTGGATAGTTTATAAAAAAATGCATAAGACTTGATTATAGCATGAAAGTATATGTTTAATTTGAGCAAATCTGATTATTAATGACTTATTTGTAATTGTCTACAAATTAAATGTTCCATTGTAACTAAGATGGGAATTCATTCGTATTTAATATAAGAAATAAATCTCCAAGAAAAGTCAAAGCATGACTTCGAAGGACAAACTTATCTGAATGCAAAGAAAAAAGTTCGTTGGAATAACGACAAGAGCAAAATCCTCCTTCATTAATATTTATTTATGATGATTAACGACTTTGGAAAGTGTCAGATCACAATTCACACATCGTGGATATGATCGATTTAGTTTTGATTCAAGAGTGCACGCTTGAAGAGGAATAAAAAAGTAAAAGAAGGAAAAACATGTCAAGATTTCAGATGTGAAGTCGCAAGAAACTGTTAAGTTTCAGCAGAATACGAACGCAAATTCTTATTTTTTAAAGTTGAAATAAATGGTGAGAAAACATTGAACAGTATATCATTGCTACGCATTTTATAACTTTTATACTCCCTCAGAATTAAAACTCTAACTTTTGACGATTCTGCAATCCTTGAGCAATATTTCGTTAATTTTGAGAATTATTTCGCCACGAAATTACATGATTTGTGACGAAAACTTTCATATATGTTACGAAAATATTTCCTCAATTGGAACTATGAAGTTTCAGCAGAATACGAACGCAAATTCTTATTTTTTAAAGTTAAAATAAATGGTGAGAAAACATTGAACAGATATCATTGCTACGCATTTTATAACTTTTATACTCCCTCATAATTAAAATTCTAAATTTTGACGATTCTGCAATCTTTGAGCAGTATTTCGTTAATTTTGAGAATTATTTCGCCACGAAATCACGTGATTTGTGACGAAACTCTATCATAGTACATTGTGGAAGATAGTAACTAGAATGACGAAACTATAATTAAGACTAGACAATCGAAAATAAAACCACGAATTATAACAACAGGCTTCAAGGCTGTTAAGGAGTTGATCTCGTACTAGGAAGATCCGGGGTTCAAATCTCTCTTCAGACATAAGTGTAATTTCTCCCTGTTGCGTTGGGCCATCTATGTGTTGCCCAGGTGATTATTAGAAAAGTTAGATACATTAGGCACTACGAAGTTTTTTTTTCTCATTCTCTATTGCTTATTCTCAATTTTAAATCATTAATAGAACTGGTGAATTTGAGTTTTAATTTGAATAAACTAAACGAAATAATAACATTTCGTAATGTTATTATGTTTAGTTTTACAACACTTCATAATTTATTTAAATCCTTAACAACTGGATCATTTGTTGTAATTAGAAACGGAGCTTGCTAGAGCTGATAATACAAGATTTTTCTCAAGAAATAAGCATGGATTATACCATTTGTTATTATTATCAGTTTGAGGTTATGAAACGCCTCACAACTTACTTAAGCGTCCTATTCATTAACAAATTTCGTTGAAGCTGATTAATTTTTATTTTCTAATCTATGAATGAACATAAATTTTCTAACTATTATTAATAGTTTATAACGCTAATTATATATTTAATTATGAGATTAAAAAGGGCCTTTTATTTTCAATATATTGATTTATTAAATTTAAAACAAGTTGATAACACTGGGAAACAGATTTTTTATTGCATTCATACAGATACTTGATCTTGACTTATTCGGGTGTGAGTATTTTAAATATGAAATTAGTTTTGCTTGAAAAGCTAAATTTCTTTTAAAATGACATATTTAGTCTATTTTTGTCGAAATGAACAAGATTTTAAACGTTATTCATTACAAGGGTTTGCGTTAATGTTGCGACAAACATTTAGGGGGTGTTATGGTCGGGGGTCTGTCCAGACATTTTGTGAAAGGTCCGGTTTTTGCAAAATTGTGAAAAAATTGCTCGTAATTTGTGAATATAAAACAAGCGTTAAGTCACATTCTTTTAATCAGGGTCCTGCTTTTATGAATTTGTGCAAATAGGGTCCGGTTATTGCAAAAAACTTTTTCAAGGAGTTTTTAAATCGCAAATAGATACGAGATTACGCTCATCACTGTGAAATTATAGTAAAAAAAAATTAAATTTTCAAAAATAAACAGCAATTGCTGCTTCAAAATTAGAGATGCAACCTATACTGCAGAACCCAGAATATTCATTTCGGACGAATAAAGGAAGAAGCGTCTGCCGGAGACAAAACTTAATTCGTTTACATCTGTCTTTCTTGTTTTCACCCCTGGGAAGGGTTTATTCGATTAACAAAACAATAATAAAGATAAACAAATTTGTGAAGGGTTCGATTAAAAGAAAAATCATTTTGTGAAGGGTCCGTTTTTAAGTTGAAATATTTTGTGAAGGGTCCGTTTTTATGAAAAGATATTTTGTGAAGGGTCCGTTAACGAACCCAAATTTCTTCTAAACAGACCCCTGACTGCATATTATCAGGATAAAAATTGCGTAAGAATGTCGACTTACTGCGCTAGAGGTGCTTCCTTACTATGACTTACTCAGAAGCACATGAAGAAACAGTTTATATTAGGAAAGCGTTCCAAGTAAGCACATGGCATTTCCGAGCAGGGGTTCGTATCCAATTCCAGTCCCTATAATGTGCCTTACCTTCCTTTTAAGTTTGTTAGAACATTTATGTGATTCCTGTTATATATAAAGCTTTTTAACTTTTAAATTTTGACTAAAAAACAGATTAAAAATGTCATTAAAAAACTGTTGCTTGGAGATAGAAAGTGTTTGCAGATTTGAAACCAATACGAAAGTATCCAAGTTTTGTAAAATAATAATAATAATAATAAAAATCTCATGTAACAGAAAACAAAACAAAAAATTGTTCTCCACTTTAATTCAATGAATTTAAGATTTATAAAAGAGTATATCTTTTCTTAAGGAAGATAACTCATAATAGGTGCCTCCTCAAAATTTATTCATACTTAATTGACACGAAGACAGATGATTGGCAAGTGGAGCACACCCATAATCTTCGTGACAAAGAATTATCCAGTGAATGTCTTCTGTCTGATAGAATTCCCTTGTTTCTTTTAATATATTCCATATTCATGATTTGAAAGGATTAACTTCTCGGTATGGAAGAAATCACATACAGTGACTCATTTTGACTGTTACATACGTGAGGAAGAGATAATTCGACCCAGACCGAAATCATATGCCTTAGTTCCAACAGATGAATGTTTTTGATAAACCTCTGTATGTAACTGTCACATTAACTGTCAATCACGTTATCATAAAAATTTTCTAAAAATATTTAATAAGTTCATTTAGAGATACAAAAAAACATTATATGATTTAAGTTATAATTTCTTTCTCCTGTGAGATGGTAAATATAAGCCTGCTTGAATTAATTCCAAATGTCAATCTGTGTAAATAGAGTTAAAACGACGTAAAGAAGTTAAAACAAAACTACAATAAGATGGCTTCGGTAGTATAATAAAGTACCTTCTTCATTGTCAAGCACTACAATAAGTCACCTTCATCGACACTGAAAGTATTATATTAACCACTGAAATGTAATATCTCTGAAATATTGCAGCATTATTGAATCAAAATGATCACATGACTGTTTTATAAATGCGTTTTCACGTTGTTTGTAGCATAAAAAATGAAACTGTTTATTGGCAATTGAAAGGCATGTAACCATTAATATTTCAGTCACAATTTACCTACAATATTTATCTTAATATTAAACGTCATAAAATATAAAATTAAAAGTATATCAGTATGATATTAAATGTAAACAAATAATAAATGTCGAGAACTTTTTTTAAAAGAGCACTGTGGACATTAATGCGTTAAGCAGTTGATTCAGCATTACTTAGCAAAAAATGTATACGCGATAGCCCGAAACGAAGCAATGTATATAGATAAAAAGCCCAAAAGGGACTGATTAAAAAAAAAAGGAAAAAAAAAACATGAGATAGTTCGATAAGAAGCAATGGATGATAAAAAGCATAACAGAGATAGTGTTTTTTAAGAAATGTACATGTGATGGTCCGAAACAGAGGAATGTATATATATAGATAAAAAGTATAATAGAGATTATTTTTAAAAAAAAATGTACATGCAATAGTCCGAAATGTAGCAATAAAAAAAGATAAGGAACATAATAGATATTAGTAATACATATATTTTTGAAAATATTATTTAATTCTTTGAAATATTTCGCTGTAATAGACGAGCATTAAATAATAGTTTTCACGCAATAATCACAGTAAAATTTTAAAAAAAATCGATAATTTTCAAATTGAATGTAATAATTTCAAAATGCTCATTTTGACTTAGCATATGATTTGAAACAATTTTTATTATTAATGCTTGTGTGCGTTGATTTATTTAATAAAATAAAAAAATCATATCTAAGCAGTAAACAATATGTTGTTTTTCAAGAATAATATAGAATTATAACATAAAATAGAATAATTTCTATTTTATTCTTTGATTGGTAAGTAAGTTAGCACATGCCAAAATAATATTAAAAAAGTTGCGTGGAATCTTTTTAATTGATAAAATTTTACTAAATGTAATGAAGATAATTTAGTTTTTGAATAATGTATTAAATTAAAAATTAAAATTCTTCTTAGTTTAAATGGTATAAAACTAAGAAGAATTTTAATTTTTGAGATATAAATTAACTTTAATTTTTGAGATTTAAAAAATTTTTAATTTTTGAGATTTAAAAATTTTTAAATTTTTGAGATTTAAAATTTTTTTAATTTTTGAGATTTAAACAATTTTTAATTTCGAGATTTTAAAAGAATTTCATTTGCGACTACATCCCATATTTCAAAGGTAAATAAACGAACATTTTTCTTCAAAAAGTATTGTCAGTGCTTTTAATGTGACGCATGTATAAGTCAGATAGGCTAGGATTAATGGAAAGGGAATCAGCTTACGCATGTGAGGTCTCCCAGTCGTCTTTGATCATCTTTGATAATGAATAGTCCTTTTTGTAAAACTCCGGTCATTCAATATATTTTTTAAAGCCTTAAAGTTAGTGATGCTGCTTGCGTAGCAATACCCTAAACATCAACCATCGGAAAGCAAAGTGTATTGATGGCACAAGACATTTTTTGAAGATCTTGAAGTCAGTGCTGAAGCTTGCTTGTGAACGCGATGACGACAACCATTGGAAAGTTAAATGTAGTGATGGCACTAGGCATTTTTTGAAGGTCTTGAAGTCAGCGCTGAAACTTGCGTGTAAGCGCCCTGACGACAACCATCGTAAAGTTAAGTGCATTGATGGCACTAGGCATTTTTTGAAGGCCTTGATGTCAGTGGTGAAGCAAGCGTGATGGCACTAGGTATTTTTTGAAGGCCTTAAAGTCAGTGTTGAAGCTTGCATGTGAGCGCCCTGACGACAACCATCGTAAAGTTAAGTGTATTGATGGCACTAGGCATTTTTGGAAGGCCTTCAAGTTAGCAATGAAGCTTGCGCTGAAAGACTCTAAATGTCAACCACCGCGTCTACAGAAGGCACAAGGCATTTTTGAAGGCCGTGGAGTCAGTGACGAAGCCTGCGCTGGTAGGTCTTATACGTCAACTACCGACTGAAGTGTGACGCGTGTGACTGAATTCTTGAATATTTTAGTGTTCGCTAAGTTCAATTACGTGGGCATTCTCAAATCACGATTCAAAAATTATTCAGAGCATTGCATTTTAAAAGGGACTTTATTTTCATTCGCAACTGTAGGCTGTAAATGGATACATTTAACATTTATGAATAGTTAAATTAACAGTTAGATATACCATACCATAATTATTAGTTCATTTTGAAAATTTTTTAGATATAATATTTTTATTTAATGAATGCTATACGGGATTATCTTAGTTCGATAAATTATTGTTACGTTCCATGTCGTGAAATTTATTAGTTATTGCAAACTTTTTATTTATTAGATGACACTTATTTTCTTTTACATTATTCTTTTACACGAAAAGCATAACAATAGGTTAAAATTACATCAAACTCTTACAAGAACAAGCTCCAAAAACAAAGTATAAACTTCCTAACAAGGCATAAAAGTATTCTAACAGTTGGAAGCACTCAACTTAGTTCTGCTCATAAGAGAGAAGAAAATTTGGCAGCAGCCCAACAAGTGAGGAATTTTAGAAGATAGAAAAACGCGAAAATCTCTTTTTAAAGTGAAATATTGAAAAAAATGTTAGAAGAGATCCGTGACACTTTAATAGATTGGATAAAGTTTTGAACTAAAACAGTATTCTTTTGTTAGAGGGGGTTTTAGAGCATGTCGAAAGTTTTAACTTGTAAAATAAAAATACAAGTTCTTTTAAAATTTATTGAAAAATAATTTTTTAAAGCAATGAGCAAAAATAAAATAACGAAACGATAAAACAAGAGCGTTTTAAACAAGCTTTTAAATTCTTAATTTACCTTCTTTAACTACACTGTTCAAGTTTTCATTGTAAAATTACGGTAAAATAACCGGCAGCAGCTTCATCAGCTGATTAACAGTAAAGCTCATAGTAAAGAACATTTTGCATCTTTACGGGTTTGAAACTGTTTACAATTAGTATGGTTGAAAAACAATGAACATAAAGCTATACTGTTTTTGAACCATTTATAGATAGCATGGTTTTCAAAACAGTAAAAAAGAAATGAAATTAGACATTGGAGCTAGGCTTTTCGTTAGGTAACAAAAAATTGGAGTTAGGTTGTGGTTGAGTTGTGTTTTATCAAATGAATCATTGAATGTGGTTTAAATAGTTTATCTCGTCGTTTCTTTCATCGTAAGAGATGGGAAACACTAGACTTTTTGTGTTAAGGAGCTTTATGGTGCTGCTCTCTATTCATGAATGAGAGCATCGTATTCTGATAGTCCAGGGTCAAAAATTGGGGAGGTTACTCTTCATATGAAAACACAAAATTAGGAGTTTTCAAAGCTTTAAAATATTAACATTTATCCCTATAATTAGTTTTAAGAAAAACGCAGAAGAGACTTTACATGTTAATTTAAAAGTCTCTTTTTTAAAAAAATTTAACTGGAAATATTTTATTTTTTTATTACTAATAAAGTGTAGATAATTTCTTTTGAGGTTTCTTAGCTTCATTATCTTTAAAGTTCCAAGCAGGCCTCTAAACAACACCATGGAGGATAATTTGGTAGTTAATAACTTTAGTATTTTTTTTAATGTTGAATAATAAAAAAAAGGAAAGAATATCTAAAGAATAGTAATAGGATTGGATCTAGAACTATGAAATTTGCAGGTTTCAAAATCTCACTTTTTTCATAGCTTCACATATCTTTTTCACATTAATTCACATATCACATTCACATTTTCACACATCTTTTTCACATTTAATTTCATCTACACCGAAACCTAACACGTGAGGTCGTGCAACTTTTTTTCTTAAGAAGTGGGTTCTGAGCAATTTATTGCTTGGTAGGGCAAAGGTAATCTTTAATGTACAGGGTGAAAAAAAATGCACACGTATATATATATATATTTGCATTTTAAAAGGG